TAAAAAATAAACTAATTTATGGAAAATATTATGTAATACTTGAGTAATTTAAAGTCATTGGCTGAAGACTTTAATGACAAAAAATTTTCGGACAGGTAAGAGGAGGCGGGGCGCACTTGTGAAACAGGTGAATTCCACACACTAAATATATATATATATATATATATATATATATATATGAAAAGAAATGTGTATCTTTTTTTTTTTGTTTTTTTGTTTCGTCTTGTATTAGCGGTAAAAAATTTCTTTACCGGAGAATTGATGTTTATGAACCTAAAATAATACATTTTTGCATTATTGTTTCCACAAACTCAAAGACCTCTAGCAATTACTTTCAGCTGAAATCTTCAAATTTTTCACCATTAAATGAAGAATTTTTTCGTAACTATTCAAATTTTCTAAAGCACTGATTGTTTTTGAGAACAGAGTATAAATAGAAATTAATTTTTTACTACACTACACTTTTCAGATAAAATAATAGCAATATAGGTAAAAGTGCCGGTTGTCTATTTAACGTTTTTCAAGATAAAAAATTTTCTCACCTTTCAGAGAGGGGAGGGATCTCTTTCCTGGATCCGATATATTTAAAGATATGTATTTAAAGTAATAAAAACTGCAAAATTAACTAACATAATAAAAGCTACAATTTCTATTAAAATTAATTTAATAGTTCGTTACTGCCTATGGCATGAATTATGACGGTCAATTGCCTTCACATTTCCTCAAATAGGTTATTCCAGCTTAGTTTTTCCCGCCTCTTCTATAATTACTATTTCCTAATTTCAAGGGTGGGATGGAAAAACCAGGAATGGAAATCTGCTTTCAAACATGGAGCTTGAACCATATAAAAATGTGCTTTATTGGATTTAGGTCTAGACTTTTCGAATGGCTCTCTAATACTACACTCGGAGCTCTGTGCGCTTGCTTATTGCCATGCTTCAGAAGGAAACCGACCCAATGTGGGTGGTAAATGGCACAAGGAAATGTTCCTCTGGGTGACTCCATATATTTCTAAGTATTTAAGGATCTGCTCTGCACAATCACTAATTCCGTATAGTCGTCAGAGAAAATAACACCCCTGGCATTACTTGATTTTTCTTAGAACCAAATCCATGGAGTTATGTAGCATTTACCTGGGTGCCTAAAAATTAAAAAAATTATCTACGACTAGCTTTCACATCATCAGTAAAACGAAGATGCTTCCGAGTCTCTAACCTCTAAGGGATTTGCTATGTGTAATTTTTTTATTTTTTTATTTCATTATTATTATTTATATGATATTTACAACTGTATAAGAAAAATACATCAAGTAAATTCGTACATCGATATAATGACATGAAACACATGTTGAGAAACTACCCATTGGTAGCACTAATAATATGTCTATATTAGGAGATCACGGGGCTTCTTTTCAGACACCTCGGAGGGTTATAGAGGAATTTGAAGGTTTGGTAGAGCCCCATAGCTCAACTCCGTAAGTACAAATTGGCCTTATAATAGTCATGTATATGAGTCTTTTGTATTTAATTGGAAGGTTAGAGCGTTTGTCTAGTAAGTTTTGAAGTAGTCGGAAACGTTGAGCGGTTTCATGTCGTTTCAGTCTGGTATGAGGATTCCAAGCTAGACGTTTGTCCAGGTGGAGTCCTAGGTAACGGATTTGTTCAACAGGAATAAGTGAGGTGTTGTTAAAGGATACTGAAGGACAGAAAGTCATTGGTTTACGACGATGTGTAAATTTAAATCAGTTTCAGACTGGTAAGTAATCGATTAAACGATTTCAGTCAAACTATCTTTAATGGGTTAGCCAACGTTTCGACCGAAACATGTGGTTCATCATCAGGGCTAACTCTGAGTCTTTTGATAATTTTGTTTCATCTTTAAATCGGTTTCTCTTAGGAGTCTTGCTGAAAAGAAGACCAATAGAGTTTCTGACTCTTATAATACCTTCAAGAAGTCTTCTTCTCAGTCTCCTAATAGAAATTGATAACTGACTAATATTGCTTATTAGACATCTGTTTCATTAAATTTATGTTTAAGTGTTAAAGAAAGGAGTCACTCAATGACATTTTTGCTGAAAATCGAGTATTTCAAAATTTAATTTATGATAAATACGTTTCCACTAGTTTTATCTCATTTTAATATGTACCCAAACACAATTTTGTTAATAATAACAATATTTAAGAATTGTTTCAATTTCTCATACTAATATCCATACCTCAATAAAAACTAATGATTTTTAGAAAGAAAAGGTCCTAACTACTGAACCAATGAAACTCAATTTACTCATGGACAAAATATAAATAGAATTCATATATGTTTCACATCGATTAATGGCAGTAATTAAGAATTAAAATGTTCTTATCAGAGTTTTCTTAGCAATTAAGTTGAAAAAAATAACAAAACAAATCAGAAAAAATATGGTCGCTGGTGGTTGCGGCTAAATTATCTATGGACATATTTACTACTATTCCAGAGACAATATGAGACTGAAATGGATGGTAGCTTCTGGGGCCAAAATTAGATATTCATATTTTAAGTGAAAAAATAATGTAGAAATAACTCTAAAAGGTCGATTTTTTAAAAACCCTTTTACTGTGATCGAGAAATAAATTAATCCTTCGTATTTTGTTTTTAATTCGAAGGAAAAATCAAAAACATTTGAAAAAACCGAAACACACTGGCGTAATCATAAAATAGAGGTCGTTTTCAGAATCTATGGCTCCGGAAACATAAAAGTAGACCTTTAAATTGGATTAATTCGAGAAACTATAATAACTCAAAATGCAATGGCGTAATCATAAAATGGAGGTTATTTTCAAAATCTACGGCGCCGGAAATATAAAAGTAGACCTTTAAATTGGATAAATTCGAAAAATTTGAATAAGTTAAAAAGCAGAGGAGTAATCTTAAAATGGAGGTCATTTTCAAAATCTACGGTTTCGGAAACATAAGAATACACCCTTATACGAAAAAAATCGAAACACTTAAAGAAATCGAAACTTGGTGGCCTAATCTTAAAATGGCGGCCGTTTTTAAAATCTGTGACTCGGGAAACATAAGAATACACACTTATATCGAATAAATCAAAAAAACTTAAATAAGTCGAAACGCAGTGACGTAATTTTAAAATGGAGGTTATTTTCTAAAACTACTCATACGATAACAGACCCACATATCGAAAAATTAAAAATAATTAAATAAAAAAAAAAAGGTTGAATTTGAAATGGAAATGGTTTAATTTGAAATGGAAAAGCTAGAATTTGACTTGGAAAAAGTTTAATTTCATTTGGAAAAGGTTGAATTTGACTTGGAAAAGGTTGAAATTGACTTGGAAAGGCTATATAAATCGTTATCACATTTCATTCAAATTTACTTACCCAATAACACTGACATTTAGTTGCTGAAGAACATGTGCTATAATTATAAAAGAGAAAATGTTGTGATTGTTTAAGTATTTGTTATATTACATTACATTACGTATTTATTAATTATTAAAAATTAAAATATAATAAAAAACTATTTTTCTATTTTTTTTTCTTTAGGGGGGAGAGGGGGAATTCACCCTGAAAGTCTCCCTCCTCTTGAATCAGTCAGTGATACTAGTATACAGGTTGTACGGTAAGTAGAGAAAATTTTTTATACTAGCGATAGCAGACCTCGAGAGATAATTTTCAACAGAAAAGTAGAAAATACAAGTTTTTGTATTTCTAAGTAAGTCTTCTTTTTTGTTGAATAGGAAGCGATAACTAAAGAAATGTTTAATTTAAGTAGTCAACAAATGATTCCCTGTTAGAGAGATAAAATTTACTTCAAATGAAAATAGTTTTTGTCATTGTTAAAACCGTTTAAAGAGGAATCTTAGACAGCTAAACTAACCTAAGTTCGGTTTTATAAAAAATTATAATAATAAGCTATAAGTCTGTACTAATTAAGTTGAGGTTTATCTGGGAAAAATTTTAGATTCACCTTAAGTTGTGTAAAAAAAAAATGTGGTTTTTTATTCTGTCAAATAAAAGTACTCCTGTTTTCAGCAAAAATTACTACAATTGATTGTTGTAAAGCTTTAATTTCTAGTTTCTAGTTTTTCCATGATGTGTGGGCCAGGCTGATCTACAGGGAGGGCTTATGGGCTGAAGCCCCCCTCCCCACCAAATGGAAATATGTAACCATGTTTTATAGAAAAAAATATTAAAAAATTATCTCTTTATGTATTATTGTAATTATATTTAATACGACTTCAAGAATTACTAAAACACCATTTCATGTAGGTAGTTAATATTTTCCTTTTTTTTTTGTCAAGTAATTATCGTTATATAAATGAAAAAAAAAATCTTTCGGGCTGAAGCCCCCTAAAAAATTAAATCCTGGATCCGCTAGTGATCTGAGGTATTTTATAATAAACGCCTACTTTTTTTATTGATAAAAACTTAAATTTGAAAAATACTGATTTTTTAAAATATTTTTGCGGTAAAGTATTTATGAAACTGTATTTTTCATCTATATCATAGAAATTAATCCTTATTTATAATTGACAACCTAAATATTTCTGATCCTAATATTGGCGTCTTCATGAAAATAATTGAAGCAATAAGCAACTTTATTTATTTTAAACGTGGGTTTTATGACTAAAAACATTTATTTTGTCTTTTATGATTATGGATATAAATTTGTATTATTCTGATCTGGGTGAATAACACAGTTTTATATAAGCTTTACATAAAAAATATATGAAAAATTAATATTTTTAAACTTTTTCTTTTTAAAAATAAAAAATATACTTAGGTAGTTATGTTTATAATAATACATCCCAGATCATGGAAAATTTCAAATTTCTATAAACATTTTTGCTGAAAACAGTGTGCTTTTACTTGACTGGATAAAAAATCACATCATTTTTTACACAACTTGAGTTGAATCTCAAACTTTCCTATAATAAACCTTACGTTAATTATTACAAACTTAACGCTTAATTAACGAAGAAGTTTTCCCAAAAGTGGGTTATCTGAAGTATAGTTGGATGATGTTAAAAAAAATCGCGAAGAATTTATGATTTTTTTTAAACAGAGCTCAGCTTAGTTGAGACGCTTAAAAATCGTCTTTAAATGGCTTTAACAATGACAAACTATATTTTCATTTAAAGTAAATGTTGTCTAGTTTACAGTGAAGTAATTGTTAATTATTTTTTTTTTTAATTTCTTTAGTTATTGCTTCCAATTAAACAAGAAACACGATTTACTTAAAAAAACATAAAACTTGTATTTCCTACTTCTCTAATAAAAATTGGCCCATTGTTTATATGTACTTGATGTCTGCTATCTCTCCTATTAAAATTTTTCTCTTCTTACTCGGACTCGGTCTATAATACTGTTCCTTATCAGACATTACATCATGGCATTATATAGAGCTATTTCAATTATTAATAGCCAATTCAGAACTGATATATATATATATATATATATATATATATATATATATATATATATATATATAGTAACGTAATTTTAATATGCCGTTTATTTTCCTCTTCACGCCTATTTATAAAAGATACTGAAGAGTCGGAGGAAACTTTGTGTTGACTAACAGCTGTGAAAAAGGTGAGTAATGTAAACAACAATCTATTGCGTAACGTACATTTATTTATAACCTAAGAGAACCAGGAAATCCTATGTAGCCTCATGTTTGGAGTGTATTGAGATTTTTGTCTTATGTTTAAGTAGAAAATTTATATTCCCGAAATCATGTAATGGTAAGAAGAAGGTATAATTAAATGTTAGTAATACTGATTATAAGTTGCTTGTTAGGTAAAAGTGTTACAATAATACTGAAGGCATAGGCGCAGACTTTCCATTCTGGTTGGGGAGAGGGCGATCAACCCCCCTCAAAGATATGGGAAATTATATTATGTATACAAATTATGAGTGATAATTAACATAATCAACATATTTTTTTTAAAACAAACATAATATTATATATATATATATATATATATATTTATGTATTCACGATATCTCAGTTCTTAATGACCAAACTCTAGAGGTTGGATCTAGACAAAATTTCCTACAAAAACGTTCATTGAAAGCATAGGCTGATTCCTAACGGAAAAGGAGTTAAGACCAACTTTTTTGAGTTGATAATTTTTTTTTTTTAATAATAATGCTTTATTTTATTTTTTTAAATATACATTACATCGTGTCATAATGATAAATTACATGTTTGTGGTTGCAGTAACCTTACACATGACATACTAGTGTTTTGAATGCTATTTAGAAAACTGAAATCCATTTTTACAGTAGGAAAAACCTACATAAGATACAAATGAAAAACGATTACAATCATTAAAAGCACTAGAAAAACAAAATATAATTTATATACAAAAGAAACCTATATATATATACACATACATACTCACACATACACACACACACATATATACATATGCACACACATCCTGTCATATAATTTAATAATTGAGGTGATAGAGTTTATTGTTACTTGTTTGTTAAAAGAGAAGAATCTGTTAAATTTTCATAAATAAACAGATGGATTTAGACGTTTAGTAGTATGTGTTTAGTCCGTCTGTGTGTATACCGTTTCAAAGATGTCTTGTCATAGTTTCCTATTGTCAGGATCATAGGGTTTAAGTTGGTCATGATTTTTATTTAATAAGAAGGAATAGCTCAAAAACAGTTTAAAATTATTTAACAATGACAAACTTGTGATGATTTTCATTTAAAGTAAATTTTGTCTAGTTTACAGTGATTATTTTATATATTTATTATATTATATTTTCTAAATGCATCATCGTAAAGTAGACACAATTTTCTTTGAGAAAACTGTGATTAAATTTACTAAGGTCAGTGACAAAAGGAACTCTCAGATTTAATACGGCCGCTCTACTGCAGTTACGGTACCCATACACAAGCAGCATATCTCTGTAATACCGATTCGTGAAATAATTCGGCATTATGGTAGGCTTTGGGTAATCACACCTCCTGAAAGTCCCTTTTATCATTGACTTAAATTTAATCACTGTTTTCTCAAAGAAAAGTTTGTCTACTTGACGATGGAGTACTTAAAATTTAATTATCTTGAGCGATTTTTTAGTTATTCCATCTTATTTAATAAAAACTTGATCACCTAATGAAAAACATAAAATTGGTCTAAAAAAATAACTACAAACTTGGTCTTAACTCCTTTTCCGTTTGGAATTGGCTCATGCATCAAATGATTTTTTTTTTGTTGTAAACTTTGTCTAGAATCACCTCCTTGATTTTGGCGATTAAGAAGTGACACATCCAGTATATTTGTTTATTTATTTTTTTATATTTTTTCGTATGGATATGTTTAAAAATATCTTAACAAAGCAATTGAATATATTACATATTTTTATTTATATTTAAAGGTTTGGGGCAGAGTTAAACTGACTGTTCTCCGATGCTTTAAGTTGCCGCGAGAAATGTGATATGATCTTCACGTAAAAATAGAAGACTGTACTTGAATGAACCATAAAAACCTAGGATGTGTTGCTACATACAATTATATTTAAATATGATGTGTGGTAAAATACCGCCGTATTTAGTCTTAGCTTAACCATCTAAACGAATTTTCCTATTTTCTTAATTGACTTCAGTTTATATATTTTATTCATTCATGTAGATTAATTGTTTTTTATTTTTCTTCTTCGAAATATTGTGGGAGGGGAAGGGAGAGAGTGAACTATATTATCGCTTCCACTCTAATTTTAATTTATAGTGCAATCGCTCGCCCTCCCTACCCCACTCTGAAGTCTACACCTATGACTGAAGGGCATGTTCCAACCGCATTTTAGACAAACATCGTACTCGGTTATTTACCACAAAATATTTCAACACATTGAGAATGGAAACTCTAAAGGGTACATAATCCAATAATAGTGTTTCCAGATATATTTTACAACATAAAATGTTAGTGCATTTTAATTGTAATTTTTATTTTGAACCAAAAATTAAATAACAAATATATTTCATTCCGATTAATTAAAAACCATCCCTAACAATGAGAACAATGTCGTCTTTTTAAAAAAAAATATCATTGAGAAAAATCAAAAATGATACTCAATGAATAATTTTTGAATTAATTTGTTTTGTACCACTCCCTCAAGACTAAATGTTATTCTCGAAAAAGCCTAAAGAATTTCGAATACAAATAAGGTAACTGAACTGATATCGGTTATCAGAAAATTAATCACCCAACAGCCCAAATCGTAAAATAGTAACACAGTTTATTAGTATTAACACAGTATATTCTACCTGTAATTTTTCATCTGTTCAGTTTTTCATTTCCATTTCTTACAATCATTGAGTGTACAAGATAAATGATAACCTTGTATTGAATAGTTTTGGTATCCTTTAATAATATTCCACTTATCCCTGCTGAACGAACAGATCCGCTACCTGGAACGCCGTCTGGACAAACGTTTTGCTTGGAATCCTGTTGGAGTGGTGCTTCGATTGCTTCAATACTTACTAGGCAAAGGACTAATTTACAAGACTATAATAAGGCCTATATGCATTTGAAGAGTTCAGCTTTGGGGCTTCACTAAGCCAACGTATTCCTCTCATGTCCAATCCTTATAATTCAAATTTTTCGTAAAATCCTCAACGTTCCTTACTGCGTCACAAATATAATGATCCATAATGACCTTAATAATTCATTTGTTGCCAACTTGCCCAATACAAAAAGCTATTCTTGCATATCATACTTCAATCCCATCCGAACCTACTAGCTTGTCTTATTGGAGTGATACCAATGGATAATTTTTTTCATGTTATTATATCAAAGCTCATATGTACTCTTGTATATCTTGTAAAACATATCTTTTATGTTTTTCCAAAGTTATACCTTTCAATAAATTAATATATATATAAATAATTTTATTCTGGGTCAGAGTCCCTTGAGAATAACAAAATGTTAAAGAACTGAGGAATACTTCTGGCTTGGGTATATCTCAGAGTGCCCGGTTCTGAACGTTGTGGGTTCGATTCCCACCTGGGTCGGTTACTTTTCATTTCTCGGCGGCCCCGGAAAATGGATTGTGACATTCCCACTCTTTTATTTTATTTTATTTTCAACCCTCCCCTGCCTGAAGGCAATACGGGTATTTGCAGCAGTGGGATGTTACTGTTACATAACAACCCACTGCTGCATTTTTGGCTATTACATTATTTTTCTGAGCTGTGCACACAGCTTGCTCTTCTCTTCACTTGCATCTGGTTTGCTTTTCTTCTTATTCTGGTGGCCTCCCCGGTGCAGCTTCTCTTCTTCTTCCCAAAGAGAAGTGGATTGGTAGTACAACTTCTTTCCATCCGTATATAAAACGTTTGAAGTGATCGTATTTGCCTTTGGCCATTAGTTGAGGAAGATCTCTCTCTGTTAGGACAAAGAGACCTGTTTCTCTCAACAGTTTCGCCCTCAGTGACTCATAGACTGTACAGGTAAGTACAAAATGTTCAGCGGTCACCAGTACCCCACAACTTGGACATAGGGGATCGATATTTATACCATACTGAACGAGCTTTCCTCGGAAACCCCCATGCCCCGTGAGAATCTGTGAAATCCAGTAGTCCGGGAGGACCCAAGTCGCTTCTAGTCGCGAACTGACGGTGGAGAAGTACTTCCTTAGGGTAGCTCCTTTGGGAGTCGTCAACCATTCCTCGGCGGATCGTTCCAGTCCTCTACTGTATCCTCCCGGAGGATCTTCTTCCAGTTTCTTGGATCATCTCCTATTCTAACTCGGAGGTAATCCGGTAGGGCCGCTAAGCATTCTCTCCTAATCTTATACCGGTAGTAGTCTTCTCTCAGCAGGAGGTCGAGAGGTATTCCTCCTGCCAAGACCTGCACAGCCTCATGAGACACCGTCCTGAATGATCTGGATACTCGAAGCACAGCCATCCGCTGAATCGTGGCCAACCTATATTTCTGTCTGTGCGAGAGATTTTGGCTCCAGGCAGGGGACGCATACCTCAGGATACTCACAGGACATTCCCACTCTGGCAAGTACGCGGCGGCAACCTTAAAGGTAGCCGTCAGGGGTTGGCAAAAAGGACCACTTAGGCCCGCTTGCCGGAGTAGATCTCCCCTCCCAGTACCAGTACTATCTAATATGTTATAGTTTAAAGAACTATTTTTTATTATAATATATACTTTTATTATCTAGATTTTATTTATGTTGATAGAGTGAGATCATACCGATAATTGAATAAAATTATGGACTGATCTCGTTGTCGTTGTTTAAGCTCAGATCATTATAAAATTATGTTGTCAAATCAGATGCCATTACTATTTATATATTAATTCCAGTTGAAAATTATTAATAAATATAAATTTCCAGAGAAACGCTCTGCAGGGCTTCTGTGCCGCTACTAAGGAGTACTGTCCCCCTGGGGAGAGGGGGGCACCCGGTGACGAAGGCCAACGGGGCGAGCAAGGTGCCAAAGGGGATCGAGGTGAGCGTGGCTTTCCTGGAGACCCAGGCCCGAGGGGGCCACCAGGAGATCCCGGTCCACGTGGGCCAAGGGGCGATCCAGGTCCTCCAGGTATTGTACTTTAACCTCATTATTTATCAACTGTTTACAGTTACGAAAATTTACAGTTATAAATAGTCCACTGTTAAGTTTTCTCATTTCTATCATTTGTTGGATTGAAAAAAAAAAAAGGTACTTGTTTAATAGCGGGTAGCCTTAAAACCTCCTTTGTTATCTAATCTTATTTCACATAACCTCCCTTATCTCCTCTAACCTAAGTTATTCCCTTGTTTGGTGGTCCCATAATTTAACAACAAAACAGTGGGAGAAAGAGCAGCTCAAACTATCCCAGGCAACTATCGTAATTGTTCATATTGTTTCTTTTATATGTAAATATGTCCATTATAGTCTTCATAGTGTTTCTTTTATGCTGTTTAATTGTTTTTTTATTGTTTAATTTATTTTTGCCTATTTTTATAATTTAGTTTATATATATATATATATATATATATATATATATATATATATGTGTGTGTGTGTGTGTGTGTTTCAATGTTTTCGTACTGTTTTTTAATTATATATGTATACAGTTTTGACCTATTCAATACATATCTTGTAAAATAAAAGAATTTTTTTATTATTACATTTGTTTTTGTTCACAATTTCAATAATATTAATACAATACAATAAATATGAATACGAAGATATAATAATATGAATATAATACAATAAGTATGAATACGAAGAGCTTATCAGAGTTATCAGTGTTAAGGTTATAAACATTGCCAGATAGCAGTCGGACGCTACCCGCTATTAAACAAGTACCAAAAAAACTACTCAACAGAAATCTATTCTAGTTACCTTCAAATCTTAGAAGCTGATATTGGCACTCAATTACAAAATCTTTCGCTGACACCAAACAGCTTTGAATCAACCAAATGGAAAAAACTGATTTTCGAGTTTTTTAATTATTCGATGGAGTTTGATGAGGTACTGCCTGCCGAAAATATGAAATAAACAAATTACCATCCCCTTAGTAGTTGGATGTAAATACCAACATTTTGAAATTCGACTTCCAGATATTGTGAAAATATCCGCGCTACAGAGCGCTTGCGAACTACTTAATAAAGTAATTTTTGGGACCCCATGACGTACTCCGTTCCGATGAGGACTTTTTTTAGTAAGGCGTTCAGAACATACCCCTCCTTTACCCATAATTATTATGTCCTCCGGCCAGCCATCCCGAGTCCACATCAAAACAAGGGTTGGTTATCACTAAGGCCCGGATTTGTATGCAATTGCATATTTTGTTTGCGTTATTTTTTTTTTTAACTGTTGATCAAATATCTATACGAATTAGTACACTGTGAGTCAATTAGTCAAATTTTATTTTGCATATTTGAGGATAAAGGCATTTAATTGCATATTTTGAATAATTTAATGAAATGAACAATACATATATATATATATATATATATATATATATATATATATATGTATATGTATGTAAGTGAATATTTATTTATATATACAAATTAAAATGTAATATTGAAGATGTAATGCATGATTACAGTCTTCCCCATTACACTTTAATAATTAATTCTCTTTATAGATGTTCTCCAATTCCTGTAAATCCATTTCCCCTTGTTCTTAATTAACATCATACTAAGTTTCAATTTTATTTTGTTGCCTAAGTTCTTAGCAAGAGATCATATTTCTGTTTATTAAAAATACCAAAAGTATCTTTTCATTTTCATCAATGTTGAAATCTTGTATTGAACCTTAAAACAATAGACATGAAATAGTTTTTACAACTGATGGAAAACCAGTGGAACCAGTGAAGTCAGTGAAACTTTAAATGAAAAAAAATTCTGGAAGATATTAAATCCATTTTAAATAGCGAAGATTCAATTGTTCCCAGTGACATTTGACACCATCCCGATAATTTATGTGGATATAAATTTGCTCCTATCTCGCCTATTGATGTGGAAGGATCATTTTCTAATTATAAAAATATTTTATTAAATTTTAGGTTTCACAGAAGCAAATTTACAAATTCTTCTGGTAATTAATTTTAATATAGAATATGCCTGCAAAGCAGACTAATTCAAATGTTTTATATATTTATTTATTTATTCCACAGGTTGTTAATTCTGTTATTGTTTCAACAAAGACTCATATTAGATTTTTATTCATTAACATACACAATTTTAAAATGTTTACATACTTACTGTTCCATATTTGTTATTTTTTTAATTATTTTTTATTATTATTATTATGCCTATTAATTTTTTTTATTTTTTTCGATGGTATATACTTTGTACTATTTCGATATTTAAATTGTTTTAATGTAGATTCATGTTATGTTTTCGTTACGAATATAATGTATATATAACCTTATTAGCTGTATATGTTTAGTTATTTTTATTCTTTACTTTTAATTTTTAAAAAAACTGAAATTATTATAATTTTCAACCACTCCATAATTTCTTTTCGTTTCAAAACTTTTTGTAGATACGCCATTAGATTTAAATACGTTATTGATATATTAGTGATAAATTAATTAGTGAGTTTAGTATGTTTAGAGACCAGTTACTGCATTTTTCATGTATTTTACTGCATATTATATGTCATATTCCTCTGAGTTTTTACTGCATAAAAATCCGGGCCTTGGTTACCACAGAAAAAGTAGGAGGCTGTCTAAATGAACTATTGAAAATTTAGGAACCATCTGTTGATGATGTGCATGAAAAGGGCCGAACGACTCATGAAAATTTGAATTTTCTCCACTCGTTCAATGGTTTATCTCTGCCGAATCTTCTAGATTGTTACAAAACTCCACACAACCCTTAATTCCAACTCTCGCAATTAATCCTATAAGAATGTTTTTGTTCCTACTACTTATGTCAATGTTTACTTCGACTAATCCTTTAATTCCTTGTTACTTGACTTGGCTTTATGTGGCCATTTATATTTTGAAAACGCACATACAATGTCAGAAAAAAAAATCGTGATTCGCGGTCTTTAGACTCATTACTAGAAAAAAGGCCTGAGCGCAAAGGCAGCCGCTGAAGTAATTTGTGCCATAGAAGTAGAGTCAGTTATCCATCGAAATATTGCCGCACTCTGGTTCAGGCATTTCAATAATGAGAATATAAGCCTTGCACATGAGCCCAGATCACTTCGCTCATCAGAAGTTGATAATGACATTTTTCTTGAATATCTTGTGAACCAGGATCCACAAGATTGCCTTTTAGACTACACCGGGTTTTTCCCGGTCTGGCGGAGAGAGCGGTGAAATTATGCCGAGTTAAAATTCCCACCGGGTACCGAAATTTGAACTCATAATTGCTATGTTCCTGGCCTCGCGTTTCTACGGAGAGTAGGGGATTCCAGGAACCGCATTTATTTGTATTTAATACTTATATTGGTATTTATATCGGTCCCAGAAGGGAACCGATCTACCGAAAAATATATTAATTCTGTATTAAAAGGTTAGATACCACAGACCCCCTACTGTAGTATCCTAGATTGAACCATATAATTTTTATTGGATTTCTTTTCTAAAGGTATCATGTTTTTAAATTTACTATTTGTTCTATATCTAATTGGTGGCATGCAAGGTACAATGTAAAAGTACTAAGATGGTTTACTAACTATTATATTTACAAATTTAAATAACCAAAACATATATACAATGATAATGAACAAACCTATATACATAATAATAGTTGAAAATCATACTAGAGGAGAATGCTTGATTAAAGTTACATGTGTTCTATTGATTTTATTAATTAATGATTTATGGTTGCCAACGCAAGTTTACATCGCTATTACTAAATGAGGGTTATTACCTAGCTGGTTCTTCTATTTTTTTCGAGTCTCCTTCCATGTCGCTCTCCTCAGACTCCGTCTTCCTCCCAGTGTTCAACCGTCAGCCTGAGTCCCAGCTCTCAGTCCATATCTAGCTCTCTCCGCCTCTCCTGATCAAGTCCCTATCCTGTGTCCCAGCTCTCTGTCTCCTCAGCTGAGTCCCAAAAAGAAGTGTTCAGTCCCAATTCTCTATTTCCCACCTTTCTTCATCCCCCTCTCTTCTGGTAGTCTTTTTCCTGATTGGCTGAATATTCCTAGCCTAAGAGATGACCACGCACGCTCCCCCAGGCCAAGGTATATTAACCAGGTACACTAACCAGGTATATTACGTATTTCTGGTGGAAGGTGTGAAAGGTCTTTCGGGATCCTGTTTAAACACTCAGTTGTCGGTCTTGGTCGGTGGTTCTTAAGGGTTTTTATTACCACTTACAAAAGGTTGTCCTCGTGGGTCGTTACCCTCCCTCAGGTACCCAACCGCCAGATGTGAGCACTTCTGATGTTTATTTATTTATACCTTTAAACTAATTATTCCACCGGCGGTCTTTACAATACATAGCACTTAACTTCGGTTATCAGGTTGCCGCTGTGCACCCGCGTTAACCCACTCGGGCATCCCGCCTTTTCCCCCCAACTACTCTTGATTTATCGGCCGTAGTAGGAACTTCATATGCCACAGTGGCTCATCATCATCATCATCGTGAGCTTACAGAATTTATGACCAAGGTCCGTACCAACACGACTTGACAGAGTATCAAGCCCAGCTGCGTGTTAATATTTGCAAAATTTTGCTCCAAAGTCCGAAAGACGATAGGTTCTCGAAAAAAAATTATCACAAGTGATAAAAAGTGGGTATTTAAAAAAAAAATCCTAGCAATTAATCACCTTGCAAACATAAGTATTGGATACGGCCAGATGAAGCTGCTCAACCGGAGGCTCGCCTAGATCAGTTAGGAAAATAAGTGATATTTTGTGTTTGGTGGAACTTAGAAGGTATTTTGCATTTTGAGCTTATTCCTGATGGTCGGACAGTGGACTCAAACCTTTACTGTGAACAGCTAGACAGAGTTTATGCAGCTTTGATTTCAAATTACTCCGCTTTGTTCAAAGTTTAACCAAGGAAACATTATCGAAACTGCACGCCATTAACGTTTTTACTTATCCTACAAATAACTCTGATATTGCACTATCAGATTATGATTTATTTGGATCAATGGCATTATTTTTTAAAAGGTCGGGTCTTTAATAATTACGAGGAGGTAATAATTGGATGTGAAGAGTTCTTAGCCTCAAAACCAAAGGAATAAGTTTGTTTGTTTCGATGTCTAGGCGCAAAACATCCAGGTCATAAGCGCCCGATCAACTAAATAACATCATTTAATACTATTTGGATGATTGGTACAAAAAAATAAAAAATAAATAAGATAAAATAAATAAAGAAATGGATTGATAGAATAAAATAAGTAAATAAGGATAATAATAGACATTTATAGGTAATAAGATGTATAAAAAATGTATAAATAAATAAACTTTAAAAAATAGCAGTAGAATAAAAAAAAAAAAAAAAAAAGAGAAAATATAATAAAAATATATAGATAAAAAGGAAATTAATAAATAAAAAAAAGCCTGTCAAATGTGTTTTTTAAGTCTTTCACTATCCATAAACTTGATGACTTTGGTAACTATTTCTTCTTGATTTCCCAGGGATGCTGATATATTCTGGGGTATTCCAAAATCTTTTAATCTTGCGGTGTAAAAAGGGCATTCTTCCAAAATATGTTTTATAGTTAGTGATTGGTTACACTTTTGACATCGGGGGATAGAATCTTTTGTTATGAGGTGGAGGTGAGTCAGTCTAGTATGTCCGATCCTCAGCCGCGTGAGGACGACCTCTTCTCTACGACTGCTGCGTCTGGAGCTGGTCCACGGTTGCACCTCTTTCTTTATTGTTTTTAATTTGCTAGGTGCGCTGTTGTCCCACCGTCTTTGCCATTCTTGGAATATGGTTTCTCTCAGAGGTCGTGCAAGTTCAGATGGTGTCAAAAAAACTTTACCGCGGCCTGGAAGAGTAAGAGCTTCCTTTGCTGCTCTATCAGCCATTTCATTTCCTTTAATTCCTATATGGCCAGGCGACCAGATAAAATGTGCCGTTGTTCCAACTCCATGAAGCATTTTTATAAGACTTAGAATGCAGTGTATCCCTGGATGGTCTGGATACATGTTATTCATAGCTTTCAGAGTACTTAGGGAATCCGATACAACAACCACATTTGCAACTGGCTTCTTCATGACGTATCGGAGACTCATTGCTACGGCGTTAATCTCTGCTGTGTAAACACTACAAAGATGGTGTAATTTATATTTGTAGGTAGTATCAGGAGTGACAAAGGCTGAAGCAGTAGATGTATCTGATTTGGATCCGTCGGTGAATATTAGAAGATGTTCAGGTAACGTGATGATTATTTTTTGGAATTTTTCTTTGTAATCTGCAGGTAATGTAGTATCTTTGGTGAGTTGGAGATTTAATTTAGGTTGTATATAGGTCCAAGGGGCTGTTTCTTTTTCTATTTCATGTAATGTTATTTGTTTTAGTTTGTTTATAATAAGAGACATTCTTTCTGCCAATGGTAATGTGGTATTCCTTTTTTCTTTAAATCTTTTTGAGAATTTAGATTGAAAAACATATTTATGGGAGGGGTATGAAGTTTGCGGGTATAATATAGTAATATAGTTTATTGCAAGTTTCTGTCTTCTAAAGTGCAGTGGTATAAGGCCAGATTCGACACAAATGCTCAGGGTTGGGCTTGTTCTAAAGGCTCCAGTTGCAAGGCGTATTCCAGTGTGGTGCACGGAGTCGAGCTTGGCTAGAGCATTTTTTCGGGCAGAACCGTAGACAAAACTACCATAATCTATTTTACCAAAGGAATGGTACCGGCATCAAATCCAATTATTGGCAGAAAGATAGGTGAAAGTAGTTGTAAACGATGGACTTTACTTTAAATGGTAGTATTGAATGATGTTTAAAATATGTAATATCGAATAAAGCTATATTTGTGTACAAGGTCTTTTGTAACAACCTAGTATATAGAAAATAAACCATAATTTTTTTTTCCGAATATAGAAGAAACATTTCAAAAAGTAGAAAGGCATGAAATAGATTTCCTTAACTAAATTATAAATCACATAAAAGACAACATTGTTCTTAGATGATGTAGATACCTAGTTTGAAATAGATTTGGACGATCCTATGAACCAAATCATATTATCAGCCGAAGAATTCTTCTTTGCCCTAAAATATGCATTAATCAAGGAAAACCATCTCATTCCATTTTGTGATTCAATACGATAAATAATCTAAGAATCAAATTATTTTCTCATTATAAAAAAATTACGCTATATTCCTGAATATCCCATATTATATAAAAAAGTTTTTAGTGATTGTCATATTTTATTTTACATATTCAAAGAGGATGGACAGTAACGAAGAAACCAGAGTGAAAATCTCTATTTAGTGTTAGAAGAGTTTACAAGGAGTTTACAGAAGTTCAACTTTTCAGCCCAGTCCTCTAGACTCGATAGTGCTGCTCTCCTATAGCGATTATTCGAACTATTATTTTCCTTTCAAATTTCAGGTATAAAATCTTGTAATAGGAGTAGAATAAAATTTTGTATTAGGAAAGTAGAAGATTACAGGAGCTCAACTTGTATGTAATTAAATGAACTTTATTTCTTTTTGACGAGAAACTCAATATTAAAACTGAAGTAGGAATTTAATACTTACTATAACTAATTGAAGCTTATTTGGTTCAAAGTAGCAAAAACCAAATATACAATGACTATTATTTAACTCCAACCCATCGAAAATACTCCACAAAGTTATCAAAGACACCTTAGTCAACATAAAATAATGTTAATCCTATTTACATTAAAATATTTGTTCTTTTACATTTGAATCGGTTTTAATATATAACTTAAAATTTTGTTTAGCCATGAGGTAATACAGGAGTCTCTAAACTATGGCCCGCGAAAGTTTCTTTGATTACATGTAGAATTTAAAAACTATTTATAAAATTTGGCAAATTACTAGCATAACAGGTTACAGCATCATTTATTGCATGGGTTTGTTTCTCTTAGAAAGCTCATTTCACAACTGAAATGTCATTTATAGAACAAGATTATTTTTTTCATAACAAGATATGGCTCTCAGGATTCATGAAGCGATATGAATGCAGCCTGGGGTACTTGGTAGAACTCTTAATGTGGCCCATGGGCCAAAAAGTTTGGAGACTCCTGAACTAATACATAAAACAAACCATTTCTTGAGTTAGGAGCCCCTGGACTGGATGGAAGAGATGGTGTCCCAGGCGAACCAGGACTAGATGGAGTGCCAGGAAGAAATGGCCTAGATGGGATCCCTGGCAGTAAAGGTGCACCGGGCATCGATGGAATTCCTGGCATACCTGGAACTAATGGCAGCAATGGTTAGTGATTATGTCAAGATAATCAGTATGAGAAATACATACCATTCCTAGTATCTGTTATTACTAAAAATATTTTCTATAGGAATACCAGGAAGAATGGGACCTCAAGGACCACCTGGCCCCATGGGACCAAAAGGTAAGCTCTGCAATAAGTTAAATAATTTAATATTTTTGGCTAACACAACCTTTATTTTTCAATATATTTTCATTTTTTTTTATTATTGCAAATTTGATTTGGAATAGTTTTATTTAAAATAATTCAGAAAAGATATTTTTCAACAAATTTTAATCATAAATTATAAAACACTTCATATTTTTAAATAAGACAACTCAGCCATTTATATGTTTACAAATACTTTTACCTCTAAATTTCTTTATCACACTGTTTCTGGGTTCTAAAAAATGAATAATATCCTGTTTCAATTTAGTAATAAAAATCATACAGTTAACAACTTTGAAATAGAAGCAAAGCATTGTAAAACTAGTAAAATAATGACAAATAGCCTGGTGAAGCACTTGTTTTAAAAACTATTACAGGGCCGGAGCCAGAGGTAGTTTATTTTAGAAGGAAAGGGGACTATCAGAGTGACCAAAAAATTTAAGACAAATATTAACTTGTCTAAGGGAGAGTTTGTAATTAATCAGTTATCTCCCTACCTAAGGATTAGTAATTTATTCACAAGTACTTGTGCTAGTAAGTATATTTTAAACAGCCATATTTCTATTTCCTCTATGGTTATTTTAGGAGGGTAATTTTTTCTTTCCATGAATTTTTTAATGGATCATTGTGACATTAATTGGAAGAATAAGAGATACTGGACAAACCCATAAGTATATCAGCTGTTTTTTTTCTTTTAACTTGTTTTATTTATTAATTCACCTTTGACACCTTGCTTTGGCACTTATTTTAGACACAATCCATGAGAGTCAGACAGTACCCACAATTATAAATTAACCAACATGTTAATATTTTTTTTTTTATTCTTCTTGTTCTTTCCCTGGCAAATATTCACTTAACTGAAATATTTGTATTACTAAATTTATTATTATTTTTTTAATGTCATGTTATGTAAATTTTTAAAATATTTCATAATTTTTTTTATAATTTTTAGGTTTAGCTGGACCTAGAGGAAAACCAGGTAAACCAGGGATAAACGGGATACCTGGAACACCAGGCATACAAGCTTATGAAGTCACAATAAATGGAACAAAGAGCTCAGAACTTCTAATACCACCAGCTATTGTAGGTAATTTTATTATAAACATTTTTTATAATTACCCATAACTTTATTAAAATCGTTATATTTTTTCTTTATTTTAGAAAATAACTTCAAGCAACCTTAATTTTTTTCAACAAATTACACAATTACTTAAAATTTCCAATGAAAATCCATTGGTACAAATTTAATACTCATTTTATGAGTTTATAAAGTATTATCAAAAATATGTAATAACCAGAATCCTAATTTTTGTGCATTTGCATATTTTGTTTGCATGCAGTTTTTAAACTTCTGATAAAGAATATGTATCAATCAGTGAACTCATATGCAATTAGACAAATTTTATATTCCATATTCTTGCATATTTCATGATAAATGCACATAATTTCATATTTTGATATTTCTATACTAAAATATGATCGCTCCATAGTATTGTTAGCAGAACAGGACTAAACCATGGCAATAGAATATTTACCAGAATGGTACAAACACTAACATATGCAGATGACATAGCAATTGTTGGGAGATCACAAGCTGGTGAGGAAGAAGCCTTTTGCAAGTTAGAAAACGAAGCAAAAAATATGGGCCTTAAGGCAAATAAAAATAAAACAAAAATGTTGTGCATAAGGAAGCAGGATGTGGCCCCACACCCACAACAACAAGTTAGAATGGGGTATTTTACTTCTGAGGTTGCTCCATGTCCAATACCTGGGATCTACAATCACAGAAAGGATGGAAGAGGAAACTAAAATAGGATGTAGATTAGCAGCAGCCAATAGAGCCTATTTCCCCCTAGCCAAAATGATTAGAAGCCGATTATTAAGTTGAACTACGAAAATAAGACTATACAAATGTCTTATAAGACCAATTAGCCCTGAAACCAGGGCCCGAAAATCGACCTCATCGCAGGCAAAGGTTTGATTGTAAATTACCAAAGTTTATGCTATTCTGAATAATAAGAACCTTGTCTGCCATTCCAGAGCCGCTGCTTTCAAAAATGGAGGCTGATTTAAACAATATTAGCCCAGTCATTTGAAGATCAAAATACGAAATCCATTATGAAAAATGTGAGAAAAGTTTTTATTTTTTTTACTTGTATATATGGATTTAAACATGTAAAAAACAAAATTGCTAACGGGGGTCAATAAGAGAAAACCTTTTTACAGCCGAAAATGTCAGATTTTTTCGATAGTTTTTGTGTTTGATATTGACTGTTACTTTGAAAGGAAAAACAAAACTCCTCTTACTTTTTTAATTAGAGCAAAAATCAATCCGTATAAAATTATCTATTACATTAAATATACTAAACATTAGTTTAATACATAAATTAATTTATACTGTTTTAGAGGTCATTATTACTTTATGCAATAAAATATATTATTTAGATTTGTCCAATGAACCTTAATTAATAAAAATGATTTACCTTATCTATAAAATGTTGCTTCTCTTAAAACTGTCATATTTAAGTTTTTTAATTAAGTAATATATAAATAATAGATCAAATCATAGGTTCTGAAACAATGTTTGGAAGCAGACCAATTACTGTACGTGAGAAGGACAATGTACGATTAAGATGTGCTGCTACTGGAAACCCACCACCTACAGTGCAATGGAGAAAGCTTGATAAATCAACAATAGGTCTTGGTAAATGGCAAGGTACTTTCAATCTTCACTTGTTTTGTAATAGGTATAGAGATTTAGTACATAATTATGTAGTATAAATTCTTTAGCTTGTAAGTAAGTAAGGAGTTTTTGATCTTTATGTTATTATTTTTATGGTCTAGTCAATGTCATATATATATATATATATATATATATATATATATATATATATATATATATATATATGTAAGAGAGATGAAACAATCAGATTTTAAATATATCTAAATAAATTTATATATTTAGGCATGCATGTATGATTTTTCAATTTCTCCCTACTTCTGGAGTATTTTAAGCCAATATCCTATCTCTCATCCTCTACACTGTTTATGTAAATTGTATCCAGGCTTTTAATGCTAATAATACTTCTGTATATTTATAATACTTTCATGGTTTACAAATCCTTTATCAAATATTTAAATCTTTGATTAATTATGTCAGAATTAAAGGATTAAGGTGAATTTCTCCATTTACTCTTGGAATGAATCACCTGGACCCTCATAGTAAAATACAAGAAATTCTTAATTGGTGATGATTAAATTAAATATCTAATTTAATAGAAAAAATAGTAAATTAAGCGGGGCTCATTTAGTTGGTTTTGTAGTATTAAGTTTCAAATAAAATTCAACTACTTTAATTTTTCTCGTATCTAAATCTTTCTATTAATTTTTTTTCTAAGATTCTAGTTGTTCATGTTATATTGAACAAAATTATAAACTTAAAACTCATTTAAAACCATTTCAATATAGTTCTACCTACTTAAATATTCTTGATCATTCTTAGATGCATCTGAAAAGAAAATCTGATCAGTTTTGATGAGATCGACAACTTTATGCTTCCACGTGGTAAAACTTTCATAAACCATAGTCATTTCACTTTCCATTCTTCATATTTTCTTTCCTCACTTTATTGTACAAACTAAACTTTAATAAAAATAAATTAATTAACATTTTAAGTATTTATAATAACGTACTTATTTAAATAATTGTTATTAATAAATATTTTTATATATTTTTTAAAGAATATTCTATCATAAGTCCAATACTCAACATTACTCGAGTAAACAGAGGTCACATGGGGCTATATATGTGCATAGCAGGAAATGGCATTCCTCCAACAGTTAATCAGACCTTTAACTTAGAAGTTCATTGTAAGTATGAAATTAATTTAGATAATATTTTAGTTGATATATGTTATGTTTAATAGTAAAAAATTTATATTTAAAAAATATATTTCTAATTATTTAAAAAGGCTGTGAAGAAAAATTGCATTTTTAAATTCTAAGTTAACAAAATAAACTTAGAAAAAATAAGTCATGTTTAATTTATTTTTCATCACTTGATGCTGTAAGTTAAGGAATCAGTCTATATATTGACTTTGATAAATGTTAATTTAAAATTTCATGTGGCTAAGCAATAGTTAATATGATAAAAACTATGTAAAAAATTAATTATTTCTCATTTTACATTAACGACATAAAAAATATATAAATTACAACAATTTCTTAGGAGTCTTGAGGTACATTCAACTATTTTTACACCAGAACATAAAACATTTTTTAATGTTATCACTTCATACTCTACTTTTTTAGGTCAATACCACATGGTTTACATTGTTATATAACACACGCCAACAATAGTTTTGTTGCTAGGGTCTTTGGAGCTGATTTTATATGATTTTGGTGCCCTGAATTTAAATATGGCTATTAGTTTTTACCTAGAAGATCAAATTTCTAGGATATAACGTTTTAATGAAATGTATGTTTTACATTATATAAGTTTAAATCCATCAATCACTTCTAAAAATTAAACATGAAATCTTTTTTATCAAACAATACAAATATTATTATATTATACAAATATTATTAGTATATACTAATATTATTATATATACAAAGATAGTATAAGTCATTGATGGAACCAATTAGCCATTCAACACCTCGGAAGCTTCTTTTTTGTGATCTCGAATATATTTTGGAACAATCCCTTTCTAAACTTTCTGTGCGTATGCCATCTTCCTTGATAGCAATCCTCTATAATTTTAACATCTTAATGAAATATTTTACCATTCACCTCACTGGAGTCTCCTAAATTTTCAGGAAACTATTCCAGGTGGCTGTGTAAATAGTGCACCTTCATATTCAAGTTGTACCCTAGTGATTTGAAATTTTTAGACATATCGTTTACCAGATCAACATGGTTTTCTGCTTTTTATTGTCTCAAGAAATGTCTGACAACTGCAACCAGTGAAGTCCAGGCTTTTCACTCAGCCTCATTTATGGAATTTGCGAAGGCTTGGTCCTTAATGAATTTTTTTTTGGGGGCTATTAAATATTCCTGCTTTAATTTTTTTCCTTACTCAAGTGAGGCATGGTCCATCCTTATCAAGAGCTTTTACCAACTGCTTCATAAGGCACAACTTGGTACGTATTGGAGGAACAATGATTTTCTTTTGTTCAACTAAGGATTCGTTAATAACATTACAGTGTCTAATGACCATTTCTTCTTTCTTAAGCCACTCTTATCTAACCCAGTGTTGTTTTTTGCCTCTTCTATCCCAGAGGCACAAGAAACAAGGATATTTGGGTGTCCGAGGACAAAATTTACCATTTTTAAGTCCACACAAATCACCCATTGATATTCACGATACCTTATCTTTTCCAAGACCTATGTTCCTTTCATTGTCGTTAAGTGGCCAATTGGAATTGAACCATATTTGTTTCCATTGTGTAGAAAATCACATTTCATCAATCAATAAATACGTGCCAATCGTCCGGAAAATATTCAGAAAGACTCATTTTTCGATCTAATATCATGATCAAATACAACATTTTCTTCATAAGAGAATGGTAGCAGACCCTTTCCACTTGTGTGGTAAAAAAGTAATTTTTGTTCTTTGTTCTAGTAAATTTTTGTCGTTCAACCTAGAAGTCAGTAATTCAGAAAATTCTTTTGACAGGATAAGATCTCTGATGAGGTCATTTAACTCATTCTGCTTGAAAGGTTTAGGAATTGTTGTCATCCCCTCATAATCACAGTCACCTCATAATACCAGAAGGGTGATTACAGGGAATAAATTTTATTTTAAAGAGCCTGTTGATATATTTCATTAAATTTAGATTTTAGAGAACGCTTTTTAATGGTTTTAATAGAGGAATAAATTTGCGATATCTTGTACTTGTGCTTTATAATATTTTCTTCACCAATAACAGATGTAAGAAATGTGGTGAAGGAGGAAATTTTTTAATCAAGAATACCTAATTGCTGCATGATCTCTCTTATTTTTAAATTTAACAAAGATTTTTACAGCTATACAACCAAAAAGAGTACAACATCCCCTTCTCTCAACTCCCCACAATCACTTACCGCTCCTTTCATATACAAACCTCTCTCCTATATTTCTATTCTCTCAGATAATATACAAAAATTCCTTAAATCAACTATGAGCAACTTACCTCTTGGCCTTAAATCCCATAACAAACTTTTTGTCCTTTTCACCAATTTAAAGGATCCCATACTTTTACAACACCGATTTAATGTAGTTTACCGGATACCTTGCTCTGCTCCTAATTGTAATAGCACCTATATTGGTGAAACCAAAAACCATCTTAAAACCCACATTTCCCAACATAAAACATCCATAAATTTCTGAAATACTTCCGCCTCCGAACTATCAGGAATGCCTTAACCCTCAACCATTCATTCGATTTTGATAAAACCTCTATACTTGCCACAGTCCCTAACCATGAAAAAAGATTTATTTCCAGATCCATCCACATTCACATGGAACAGAATCCTGTGAATCATAAAGTAGATAAAAACTGAATTTCTTTAACATATAGGACCATTTTAAATCTTATAAGTGAAAAATAATTTATTTATTACATCTTATTATTTTTTATCAATTTTGGATTTTTATTGATTAATACGCTTCTCCCTCAGCCACTTCACTGGTATTTTAAACCAGCGGAGGATGAGTAAGAGCGCTACAGCCACAGACACTCATGACTTGAGTGGAGAATCTGGCCATTGCTAGAGCTCCAAAATATCCATATTTACAAAAGGTCTCGTGGCCACTGCCGCTTTAACCTACGAAGGGGATTGTAGGGATGGGTGGTGCTTGATAGGGATTGTATAACGGGATTTGGGTGATGAGAAAGGTTCTGGTGAAATTTGGAAAATTTGGCTGGGATAAGATCAAGAATAAATGGGATATTAAGGTCATGGTGTAGGGTTTTATTGGTTACATAGAAGGGAGCATTGACTATTGTACGGAGGACTTTAGACTGAAAGGATTGAATGCGTTTGATGTTAGAAAATTTGGCTGTTCCCCATAGTTCTAGTCCGTAAGTCCAGATGGGTTTCAGTATTGTCTTGTAGATCAGTAATTTGTTTTCACCAGAAAGTTTAGATTTTCTATTCAGTAGTCTATATAGCTGGCCATATCGTCTGTTAAGTTCCTGTCTTTTAAGTCGAGTATGTGGATTCCATGTTAGTCGTCTGTCTAAGAGAAAGCCAAGATACCGGACTGTATCTGAGAAAGGAAGCTGGATGGAGTTAAAATAAACTGGTGGGCAGGTATTACGCCGAAGGGTGAAGGTAATGTGTTTACATTTAGATTCGTTTACCTTAATGCGCCATTTCTTACACCAGTGTTCAATCAGGAAGAGGTGCCTTTGTAAGTTTGCGGACGCTGTTTCAGGATCTGAGTTGGAAGAAAGGATAGCAGTGTCATCAGCGAAAGTTGCCAGGAGGGTATCGGGATGGACAGGAATATCAGCGGTAAAGAGAATGTAAAGGATGGGGCCCAAGACGCTGCCTTGAGGAACGCCAGCCTCAATTGAGTAACAGTCGGAGAATTCGGTGCCACAGCGAACTCGGAAGGAGCGGTCGGAAAGATAGGATCGGAGTACTAGGTATAAGGACTGTGGTAGATGGATTTTAAGCTTGAAGAGTAATCCGGCGTGCCATACCCGGTCAAAAGCTTGCGCTATGTCCAGAAATGCACCCGAGCAATACTGCTTGCTTTCTAGGGTTGAGGATATATGGTCAACAACTCGGAGTCCTTGCTGGACAGTGGAATGTTGGGAACGAAATCCGAATTGATGAGTAGGAAGGTTATAGGATTCAATTATAGGTAGGATTCGTTTCAGTAGGATCTTTTCAAAAATTTTTGAGAGGATTGGGAGTAGGCTAATTGGTCTATAGGATGCTGTATTGTTGGAAGGTTTGCCTGGTTTCAAGAAGAGGACGATGGTGGAATGTTTCCATAAAAGAGGGAAGTGGGTAGTTCGTAGGATGCAATTGTATATATATGTAAGAAATATGATGGCTTTAGATGGAAGTTGTCGAAGGATCTGTGGGGTTAGAAGGTCATATCCAGGAGATTTGCGAGGTGTGATTTTCCGTAAAAGGTATTTGACCTCAGAGGGATTAACAGCTTTAGGTGGTAAGGAGAGTGGGATAGGTATTGAGAGGGATTCTTCTACTTTTACTGTGTGGCTGGGATGGGATTCTGGATGAGGAGCGAAAGTATAGGAAAGGTGTTTGGCAAATTCCTCGGCTTTATCTTCATCAGATGCTGCCCAGGAGCCATCATCTCGTCGAAGAGGGTGGGAAATATGATGGGATTTGAGGATTTTTCTGGTGATATTCCAAAGGGAATTATCATGAGCAGAGAGTGTGGTGAGGTAGGAATTGAATGATTGGGATCTGAAGGTGGCTAATTCTTGTTTTAATTTTTTACAGTGATAATTGTAGGAGTGGCGGTCGGCTGGATGTCTGGTACGTTGCCATAATAATCTGGCACGGCGTTTTATGTGGATTAGGTCAAGGAGGTGTTGAGGTAAATTATGTTTCTTAAGGATTTTTGAGGAGTGATCAGGGAGGAAGCAGTCCAGACTGCTTCTTGAATTTTGGTAGTGAAGGAATGTACTGCATTGTCCAGGTCTTCAGAGGTTTTCAGGGTTACTCTGAGGTCAATTTTATCGGAGAGGATTTGATGAAAGAGTTTCCAGTTAACTGGGCCTCTGATGAAGGACGGAGGAGAGGGTTTAGGAATAGGAGCTAGTGATACTTGGAGTATTAATGGGCTGTGGTCTGAGGAAAGCTCGTCAAGACGGGCAACGGAATGGTTGAGAGCACCTAAACCATTATGGATAAAGAAATCGAGGATATCGGGATTACGGTTAGGATCAGTGGGCCAGTAGGTAGGTGAGTTGGGTGGAAGAAGGGTAAAATTTTGGGAATTGAGTACAGACAGCAATGTTCGACCACGAGAATTCGTGGTTCTTGAACCCCATTGTTGATGCTTGGCGTTTAAGTCTGCACCCAAGATGAAATGATGTCCTAAGGAAATGAGGAAGGAACTAAATTGGATATTGGAGATGGATTGGTTTGGAGGGCAATACGCTGATGCAACGGTAATAGGAAAGGAGAAGGTTTTGATTACGACTGCGGTGGATTGTAGGAAATCGTGTGTAGGCAGTGGGAGTAGGTGATGGGAGAGGGATTGGTGCACAATGACTGCAGTACCGGCATGTGCTCTACCGTCAGGATGGTCGGTACGGTAAGTTATGTATTGTGGTATTTTTAGGAGCTGTTTTTTAGTCAGTCGAGTTTCCGTTATTAGGGCTACGTCTACGTTCTTGTCTTGTAGTAAGGCTGTTAGTTCGTGTATGTGATTTCTAACACCATTCGCATTCCAAAGGAGAATGGATATGGGTTTGATGGAAGTCATTTAAGGATTTTTTAAAGGAGGGATAAGGTGAGATACTAGGTTAGTGAGAAGTGATATCAGTGGGGTAACAAGGGATTTAAATTCTGAAAGAAAGGATGTCAATAAGCTGGTTAGATCTGTAGCATTAGGCGGTGGAGGAACATATTGGATTTGATGTTGGTGAGGTTGTTGTTGATTAGGTACATTAGGTGGGATAGGATATTGAGATTGGGGTTGAGTTTGTTCTTGCGGCAGGGCCTCACATACATTAGTCGGGTCTCTACCCCCAAGTAGCTTGGCAAAAGAAACCTTAGAGTTCACAATTTTAGCGGGTCCTCTTCTTGGTTTAGGTGTATCATCAGGGTCCCTGGGTTTCATATATCTCGCTTTAAGATTTTTATAAATTTGGCAGCCTTTGTAGTTGGCTGGATGGCCTTCCAGGCATAGGGCACAGACTGCTGGTTCTGTAATTGGTTTATTACACTCGCCAGACTTGTGTGTTTTACCACATTTCACGCAGCGTGGTAAGTGGTGGCAATAAGACTTGGTGTGGCCATATGCTTGGCAATTATGGCACTGGATGAACTCTCTTTTTGGGTACGGTTTTTCGACCTTTACGCTGGTGTAGAAAATTCTATTCACATCGTATATTTTTTCGATCCCAGGCGATGGCTCTAGATCGACGAAAAATAAGGGCAATGGGATTTTATTCTTTACACCTGGTTGTTCTTTATTTTCTTTTAAAACATTGGTTATCTGACGTATTTTGAACCCTAACGCCGTTAACTCTTCTTTAATCACTTCTATTGGGGTTGAGGAGTGTAAATTTCTTATTACAACTCGTAGTGCTCTTTCCTGTTTCAACTGGTATGTGTGAAAGTCCGCATTTGTGTCTGTTAAATATTTTACGATTTTTCGGTACGCTTCAGGTGTGGCCGGTATTATTTTTGTATCATTTATTCTGTTTAGACATGTATAGCTACCTGGGCAGATTTTATTAAGTTGAGTACACAACAACTGGAAATTTCTCAAATTTTTGACAAAGATAGGAGGTGGGCGTCGTTCTCGAGGTATAGGTGCATCTTCCATTTCTTCCCTGTCATTTTCAAGCACCTGGTATGGATTAGGTGTAAAAAATGGAGATTCCATTTCTTGTGAAGACGTACTTGGCAGTGGTTGAGACACAGATACTTGAGTGTTCGCTGGAGGAGTTCCGGGGGGTGTTAATCGCTTACTACGACGTGTTTTCTGTTTAGGCGGTGAATTACGTGGGGTAGAGCCAACTGAATGGGACCTCTTAGTTGACATTACTTGGTGGTAATATCGCATATAAAAAAAAAAGAAAGGGAAAAAAAAATAAATAAATAAAACTACGTCTGCGTGTTATTACAATGGATGAACCGCCGGCTGAGAACCAGCCAGTTACGTGGCTGGGCCACAACTGGAGAGGGGAGCCGTCAGCTGTTATGGCTATAGAGATTAAGCCTATAGACGCTAAATCACTAAATTCACTGTCTGTAATAGTACACAGTAAATAACAACACTACTCACTGTGGTGTTAGTCCATTGTTGTTGTTTTGATGTCTGCTTAACTAGTTTTTTTTAAAAAAAGTAAAACTGAGCACTTATTCTACTAAAAAATAGTAAAACTGTGGGACACGACGTGAAATGTGGGTATTCAAATCAAGCGCATGCGCAGAACTCCTCTAACATTTAAATGTAATTTTCTTACATATGTACAACTAACCAAGGAAAATTCTTTAACCAGATTTCAGGCCTAGTCATGGGAAATTCTTTAGCACTGGATATTTCTAATATTTTTCTTAATGACCTTCTAGACTTTGTTATCCCTTCTTTCCATCAAGACATCATTTTCATTAAAAAATATGTTGATGACTTCCTCCTTGTTCTTAACCCATATAGCATTTCTCTAATTCTTTCCTCATTTAACTCTTACTACCCCCGTCTTTGTTTCACTATAGAGAAAGAAGTTAAGAATTCATTCCTCTTCTTAGACCCCCTAATAATAAAAAACACTGATGGCTATATTTCTACTGACTGGTATACTAAACCCACGTATTCAGGCATACTATTTAACATTTATTCTCAACAACCATATCACCAAAAAATCAATACCGCCAAAAACCTTATTCAACAATCTCTCTCTTTAACTGATCCACAATATCACCACGCCAACACTCATTGTGTCAAAAATATACTCCTTTACAATAATTTCCCTCTCAACACTATACTTAAACTTTTAAACAGTACTTAAAACTTTTATTCATTTTACTTTTTAATCATTATGTCTCAATAATATCTAATATTTAAATGTAATTTTCTTACATATGTACAACTAAGTGTAATTATAATTATTCATATTTGTTTCCTCTCTATACTTCTAAATTAGTTCAGCAATGTATGGTTTCTTATTTTTATATTTTATTTCTATGAACGTTTTACTTCTTTCATTTTTTTTTTATTCACATAGTATTCCTGTCTATAATTTCTTAATTCGATTTTATATGTATATGTATATATTTATAATTTATTATTTCATAGATATAGTATTTTCCCTTGTATCCATCCATATCTTCAAATTTTCAAGTAAAAACGCCTTCTTGATTCAAGCTGTATCATACCTGCTTGACCAGGGTGGGAATCCCCACTTCATCACTGAGAATCCCATTCTTTTATTCAACGCTTCAACTAAATTTGAGGTCAGTGAGTTTTAGCCAAGCAGGATAAATTGAAATTTACAAAAAAATTAGTTCAACAATCATCCTGATCTGTTTGATAGATATTCGAAGCTCGTCACCGATACTTTTGTGTTAAGCTTGGATCAGGTATGTAAAACTTGTACAGAACATTTACACCAGTGAACTAGCAGGGAAAGAAAACATTTGAAATTTGGTGTACCAATGGTTTGGAGAGAATCCAATGACCGCATCGATGACTGTTATTTCTGTCTTGTGAATATTACTGAAATCAATCGAAACAACAATCAAAAAGATTCAGAGCCCAAATTCCAAAAAGTTAGGCACCAAACAATTTTTTTTCTCTTGTATGTCTTTGAACATGAAACACATAACTTATAGACTATAAGTTCATTAAAATTGTAAAACAATGTATAGGTAGGAATATACAGATTATGTGTTCCAGTTTCTCCTCTCATAAAAATCTACCATCAACGTATAGCTGTGACAAATACTTCCCTTGCAAGACTTGAGTGTGAAGTTGAAGCATATCCAGATGGTTTGAAGTATTGGGAAAGATCTGGTGGGCGAGTTGTTGAACAGTCAGAGAAATATAGTATTGGTGTTATCGAGTTGGGCAAATACAGGGTAAGGTACTAATATATAGGCTAAAACTAAAAACTTTTAATTAAAATTAATTCATACATTCTAATTAAATTTATTCAGTAATTTATTTTTTACATTTATTGCTTCAAAAAACTTATCAATATAATATAATATATTATTTTTTCATCAATTCTGAAATTTAATCATATTTCTTGCAATGTAAAGAAAGTTGGAAGAAATATGATTAAAATATTATTAGTTTGAAATAACCCAGATAATTCATTCACTTATTCATAATTATTCAGTTGCACTCATAAAGTATTATAAAAACCGTATTTTATTTTTATATATATAAATATATAAAGTCATTATTAGTTAAAAACAGAAAGGGAATATATATATTGTAATATGCCCTTTCTATTATTAACTAATAATGACTCCTGAAAGACTAATAATGACTTCAATACTGTTGGGATACTTCCAAAAGAAATAAGAGGTTGTTAAATAATAAAAAAAAATATAAGAGTATTAATATATTAAATTGAAATTTATAATTATTTTATCTCAGGTATTGGTTACTGAGAATCAGATTAAAATACTCAGACAGACTAACATTAACTACACTAAACACTGTTTGATTTTAAAATGATGTCAAGTATGAATTGACAAGCTTACCTTTTTTTTCTATATATACTGTTTCTTCCTTTGTGGCACTGAATTCATTTGTTTTCAAACACTTTCCAAAGTTCTGTCAAACACACTTTCTAAAATGGTGAAACTTTTCTCTAATCAACTCAAGCTTCCTGGACCATTATCTCTCCAAACCCCTGCCACAAAACAACTGCTTGCCAAAAAAAAAAACCTTTGTCTATTCCCTCTTTGGGATTTTCCTGCTAGGGGAAACTACAGAGCAGCCATTTTCTTTTCCTTGAATTAGATTAGTTTGCCTTTTAACTGTTCAACATTAATTTATTAAACCATTTTTAACATCTTCCAATAAAGGTGTAGGTGTATATTACAATATACTTTATTATTATTATCATTTTTTAAGAAAACTTGATTTATTGCAATTCTATATTAATTCATGTTTTCTTTATTTGATTACAGTCAATAATGCAGTTAAACATAAGTGATTTAAACTATTTTGATTATGGTTTATATCACTGTGTGAGCAAAAATGAAATTGGTCTAACAAAAGGAAATTTTACCGTTTATGGTATGTTTATTTATAATGCAACTCTTTAATTGGCCTTTCTATTTCAATATTATAATATTATATATTAATATTAGTCAAGTAAAGAGGGCAGTTACTAAAGGTGACAATTTTGGTCAAAATGTTTTTTTTCTTGAGTAAAAAATATTTTTTTCTGATTTTTGGTTGTTTAGACATTAGTTCAGTCAGTAAAATGAGTTAATATAGGTTATATTTCGAAATTTATTACTATAATTATAAAATTCAGATTTTTATTGAGGGGGGTAGAGGACTGCATTAGGTGAAAGAAGGGTTGGAAAATTAAGCTTGTCTCTCCTAACAAAAATCCTAGTTCTGGCCTTGGCCGCACTTCTTTCTGGGAAAAAGAAGACTATTTCGCTAGTAGGATTATGCGCAATGACTCTTGGAAATACCAGATGCAGAGTGAAAATAAAAAACACCTTATCAGAAGAATTTGAAATAGAAAATGGAAATGGTGGAAAAAAGTACCAAGGAGATCGTCTATCTCCTTTATTATTCAATATTGTATTGGAGCAGGTGCCAGAACAATTAAGACAAATCCAGGAGGAGCAATATATAATAGACTCACCCAACACTTGGTGCATGTTAATGATATAGTAATATCATTAAGATCCAAAGCATTATGTAAGATCTTTCAAGAGCTTTACAGGAATTTGAAGATGCTGGAGAAAAATTTGGTCTTAAGATAAAAAAATAAATAAGGAAAGAACCCAATATATGATATCCTCAAAAAGTGAGGAACAAAAAGGACAGGATTGCGTGCAACTACTCCACCACACTTTAAAGAAAATTGGCGGTTTCAAATACCATATTTGAAGATCTTCATTGACGGGAAGAAATTATATCACAGTGGAAATAAAAGCAAGAATCGCAGCTGGCAATAGATATATTTTTACATTTTCAGAATCTGTCATGGAAGGCAAAGCTACTTATTTGTAAAACTATCTTGAGACCAATTGTCACTTACACACGTGAAACACGGGTCCTGACACAGGAATGTGAAAAGATCCTCTGGATGTGGAAAAGGAAGGTCCTTTGACTGATCTTTGGGTCAGTATGCATAGGTGGCCAATAGAAAATAAGAAATAATAGAGAAATTCAAGAACTGTTTAATGAACCAGACATAGTCATTTCTGTTAAATCAAGCCATATAAGATGGTTTTTGGGTACATGGAGAAGACAGATGCCCAAAAAAAGTATTATGTGGTAAACCAGGAGGGAAAAGAAGGAGAGGAAGGCTCAGACTGAGATGGATCAATGATGTGGAAGATGATCTGCAGGAATAGGAATTGACAATGAAGAAGCTATAGGGCTGCTGATAGGAAGGATTGGAGAGGCATTGTTGAGGAGGCTAAGGCTCTACAAAGTCTGTAGAGCCATGGAAGTAAGTAAATAAGTCCTTTAAGTTGTTACAATACTATTTATTAACTAAATTTTATTTATAAACTTTAAATTACAGAGATTTTACTATTTATATTTTTCTTTTATTTTATAAATCTTTCCATTCTCTGTTAGATGCAAAGCATGGATTAATAACAAAATTAGATGAAAGTGGTACTTATGGAGAGCTTTCACCAGAAAATGTGGATCTTGATGATTTATGTGGCCCTCCTGTTCAGTGTCCTGAATGTCCAGATCCAAAAGAATTTCACTGCAAACTTGGCATTTATTCTCTATATGATCTCTTGGGCCATCGTGAATTAGAAATCAGACCACTTGACTCAAATAAAACATACCCTGGTCTACCCAACAGAACATTGGGTATTTCTCTTCAATTATATCCAATGGAACAATATTTATTACCAAATGACACATGATTTACTATACCATAAATATTGATTTCAGATTGTCAAGTACATAGTGTTGGAAAGCCTGTGTTCCATAAAGTTTCAGATTCACTTTATGGCAGCTGGATGAGAGATCCTTTACCTCGTGGAGACAGTGACAAATATTGGGTAACAAAAGAAAATGAAAGTTCTACATTGTATGAATATGGGAACAAAACAGCATATAGCCTTGATGTGGCACCTAAAGTTTACAGATTGGAATATCCATTCTCTGTATGTATGGATTTGTATTAAATTCTATTTAAAGCAAGCTTAATAGTTAATTTTGTTAAACATAATTAAAATATTTGTAAACTTCAGATTAATAGAACAAATGCTTACTTAACTGTAAAAGAAACAATAGCATAAGTTATGAAACCTTCATACGTATATGAATGATCTAATATTAAGAAACTATTATTTTTTTTAAATTCAAAGTGTATAGAACTTATAGTTTTTATTAATCATTTTTATTTTGGAAAATTAAATCTATGTTATTTTATAGGGTAATGCTCACACTATATACAATGGTTCATTTTACTATAACCATAAACAAAAACCACATATTGTGAAATATGAATTAAGTAGTGAAAGAAGTCAAATTTTGCAAGTCCCACATGCTCTAGCAAATGAGTCCAATTTTCTTTACACAACGTTCTACAATTATATGGATTTCGCTGTAGATGATAATGGTTTGTGGGTTATTTATGGTCTACCTATCACTAATAATACAGCAGTAATTAAAGTAGATGCTTATAACTTTGATATCCAGTTTGCTTGGAATATTAGCCTGAAACATCAAAAAGCTGGTGAGATGTTCATTGTGTGTGGAGTATTGTATGCTGTTGACAGTACAACAGAAAGAAAAACTAACATAAGGTAAAAATAGTAAATTAAACTAATATATTTTAAATGTAACATATTATTTATATTTGTATTCTTCAAATTGTTGGCACCTACATTTTTTTTATTTTATGATAAACACTTATTTTTAATTTATATCACAGTGTTTTCAATCACAATCTGCTCCATGATAGCTTCTTACATCTAATTTTTAATATATATATATATATGACCTAAAAAAAGTTCATATTATCAATGAATCAATTTTCAGCTTAACAGTAGAAAATCCAAGTATTGTGTTTTTTTTAAGAGAGTCATGTTTTTTGTAGAATAGGAAGCAATAACTGAAGAAATATTTAATTTAAGTAATTAACAATTACTTCACTGTAAACTAGACAAAATTTACTTTAACTGAAAAGAAAGTTTTCATTATTAAAACCATTTAAAGAGGACATTTGAGTGACTAAACTAAGCTAAGTTCTGCTTTTCAAAAAATCATAAATTATTCGCGATTTTTTTTATCATCATCCAACTATACTACAGTTACCCTACTTTTAAAAAACCTACCTCGTTTAAAAAGGTGGTTGTTTATATTAATTAAATTGAGGTTTATTAGGCAAAAACTTGAGATACACATCAAGTTGTGTAAAGTAATGATGTGATTTTTTATCCAGTCTCCTAAAACTACCCATATTTTCAGCAAAAATGGCTACATATGTTATTTTAAATTTTATTATTTTTATAAATAAAATATATATTTAGGCAATTATTTTTATTAAAATACATCCCAGATCATGGAAAAACTAGAAATAAAAGTTTTACAACAGTCAATGGTTGTCATCAAACACGGTTACTTTTAGGAGACTGGATAGAAAATCACATAATTTCTTTACACAACTTGAGGTGAATCTCAAGTTTTTGCCTAATAAACCTGAATTGAATTAATATAAACTTACACCTTATTAAACGAGGTATTTTTTCTAAAAGTGGGATAATTGTAGTATAGTAAAAGGATAATAAAAAAAAAATTGCCAATAATTGATGAAGTTTTTATAATCAGAATTTAGCTTAGTTTAGCCGCTCAAATGTCCTCTTTAAATGGTTTTAATAATGACATACTTCCTTTTCAATTAAAGTAAATTTTGTCTAGTTTGCAATGAAGTAATTGTTGAATTATTAAATTAAATATTTCTTTAGTCATCACTTCATATTAAAAAAAAACATAACTCTCTTAAAAAACCACAATACTTGGATTTTTAATTACTGAAAATTTGCCCATTGTTTATATGTTTATATGAAGTTTTTTGTAGGTCTTGAGGTCTGCTATCGCTTCTATCAAAATTTCTCTCTACTTATGGGACAGGACACCTGTATATATATATATATATATATATATATTAAAAATTAGAAGAAAGAAGCTATCATGTAGCAGACTGTGATTCGGATCTCATCCTGAATATAGTTAAACTATGTCAAAGATTGAAGCGAATTTATAAAACAGAGGATCAAGAGGAAAGAAGAAGTCCTTAATTTGAAAAATCTAGAAACTATGGAAGGAGGAAAGCATAACAGCAGCATGGAATTTGGGGCTGATCTGTCCTATCCTAAATAAAGGCTATATATATATGAATAATTACAAACGAATATCACTCATTCTGGTTGCCTATGAGATACTGACCAATATCCTAATAAACCAAATATATATACCAGATATGAAAATATGACAGAGACCAAGCTGGATTCAGAAGATGATGGAGCATACTAGATCAGATCTTTATATCAAAAACTATGGGAAGTAGCTCAGGATGTCCACACATTATTTGTGGATTTCAAAGCAATCAATGATTCTGTGGGCAAGAACTGTCTTTAGGAAGTCATGGCTGAACTGGCAGTTCCTGGCAAGTTAGTGAGGTTGACAAAAGTGTGTACTAATGTCACTAAATGTCGAGTCCTAATAAAAGATGAAATACCTGAATCCTCCAAAGTCCAAACTAGCTTGTGACAGGGAAATGGACTCTAGCCAACACTATTAAATTTAGAGCTGGAGAAGGTGATGAAAACAACATTCTATGAAAATTGGAGCGGTGCATGTTGGAATGAATTATAAAATCTTTGGGTATGCAGATGATAAAGCTGTCCTTGGAAGCAATCAAGACGATATTGAAAACTTGCAAAAACTCTGATAAGAAAAGCAGAACAAATCGACATTCAAGTGAATGAAGATAAAACAAAATATTTGATAAAAAGCTGAAAATTACACTCGAATAACAGGATTTGCAAAGAAGGGAAATTGTTCCCGAAAGTAGACAAATTTAAATAAGTTGGCTCCACAATAACCTCAACAAATGATCAACGGTCGGAAATCGATCAACATATAACACGAGTAAACAGAGCTTTATACTCTCTATCAAAGGTATTAAAATCCTGAAAAATCTCAAATTATAGGTGTACACTGCTATGATAGAGACGATTCTAACTTATGGCTGTGAGACACTAAACAGCACTCTAGAAGGAAATATTGAAAGATTTGATAGAAAAATTCTCCACACAATAACCAGAGCTATCTGGGATCAGAGTACTGACACATGGAGGAGAAGGATCAATAAAGAGCTGCTTACAGAAACCAATCAATCTCCTATCAACATCTCATGGTATGAAGACAAGGAGGTTAAGATGGGCGGGGCATGTATTTGGAAGCCTCTAAACAACACCACATGCCTCAATAGTAGGAAAAATACCACATGGAAGGTCAAAAAGAAGATGGATAGATTTATTCAACAAAGATGCAATAGAGCTGAATGCAGATAACTAGAAAGAAATAGCCCAAGGTTGACAGAGATGGAGAAGACTGGTCAAGGCGGCAAAAGATCTACAGACTTTGTAATGCCAAAAAAACAAAAACATATATATTGAAATTTGTAACTACAATAAATATAAAAAGAAACCCTTTGAACATTTTATTAAATAGAAAAATAACTGATATAGATTTCAATTTTTCATTGTGAGTAAAAGTTTTTTTGTAAAATTTTTTTTAGATTTGCTTTGGATCTATACAAAAACCAACTACTAGAAGATGTGAACGTGGAATTCACAAATCCATTTAGGAAAACTACAATGATAGGTTACAATCCACGAAATAAGGTATATTTTACTTTTTAGTAATATTTATCACCTATTACCTATCATGAAACACATAAATCCTATAAGCTATTATTAGCCATTTTGATTTTTAATTTTGTAGATATTTCAAATAAATATTTAATATATTTCATCTACTGATACAATTATACTTTGTTTTCAACAAACTAATATCATAGTTTGTTCAGGTGCAATTGTTACTGACAGTATCAAAATATGTGGGGCTTTGAGCAGCAAAACTTTTTGTAGCCTCCAAATGAAAGTTTCAAGAAAACTCAAACTGTTAGATATTGCAACATCGAGAACATTTCAGAACATAGAATATAGAATTCTATTATATGTTCTGTGAAGGCCATATTCACATTTTATCGAGGTCTTTTCAAACCTTTTTGTCATCTTCAGAAAGATTTAAGTAGCCAAGATATTTTAAGACCTCAAGGCACTTTCTATAATAAGCTCTTCATTTAGTTTAGTTTACTTATTGCTTATTCCAGCTCAGATTACTAAATATAAATTTACAGTTATTTGTAGTAAATTGAAATTTAGGAAAATTTGGTAATTTTACAATATTAATGAGTGTTTGTTAAAATAAATCCAAATTTTTCAATTAAAGAAATTTTATCAAGTTACAGATTCATTTGATTTGATATGTAAGTGCATGTTCTAATATGTTATTTACAAAAAAAATTAATAAAATTTGAACGGATTATTAAATTAATTAATTAAATAGCATTGTCGATCAGAGATTGCAATTAATAAATCTATGAAATAAAAATTATATAGAGAAATTAGCACATATGTTATCCAGTTAATGCATATTAAGTATTATTTAAATGCTCAACAAATTGTCAAATATAAAGGAAAACAATAATTGCAATATACTCATAAATTCATTACTAGGCAATTATTTATTGATTGTAATTTTCTTTAGTTTGTCTATTTTTTTGTAAGTACAAACATAATAATGATAAATTGTGATTACTCTGTTATATCCTAAGCAAGATTAATTAATAACTATTTATCTTTAAAATCAGGAACTGTATACATGGGATAAAGGTAACCAGCTCACTTACCCTATAAGATATCATGAAATCGGTTACAATATGACTAAAGAAGACAAAGGAGAACCAGAAGCTAATGCTTTAAATCAAACAGGATTTGATGTTGAAGAAAAATCATAATTTAAAATATTTTAGTAAAATATCAAATTTATATACATTTTTCAGTTTTTTATCATTTTTAAGCATAATTCCATATGGAAATAAAAATATAAAAAATAAGTTATATTTTTTGGATTTATATACATTGAACTTATATGTTTGTATTACTCCATTAAATCTAAGAGATCTTACAGTTTTCATTCATAATCTCTTATGGAATTTATTTAATGGAAAACATAGCAAGGCAGTTTAAAAATTTATTTGATTATGTACTTACTAAATGAGCCTTTTTCGGATTAATACTTGAGTATTAATTTTTATGATGGTCTTTTGAGGTATATTCAAATAGAAAAGCTGTTTAAATTTCTATTCTTGTGTTGCAGATCAAATATTTGTTTACAGTTGCGTTGTACTTAAATATTTGAATTTCAAATAGTAATTAAGAATGATCATTTTTTAACCTGGTCTATTCAAATTGTATTCAGAGGTCTTATTTCATCTTAAATTGTTTACAGATGAATAAAACAAATCTATTAAAATGTTAATCATATATATTTTATAAAAATAATAATTTGTAATGTTTTGTACTCAATATATTTTTGCTATAATATGAAGTATTATTTTGTCTTTTATATATAAAATATATGTAGTGCACATGTCATCATATAATACCAATCACAGACCCGTGTAGCTCAAGATAAAATCAACTATAAAATTACATCCTCTTCCATACAATTTTACATTGGGTCATCATTTCTTGTATTGTCACATATTCAAATAGGAGTGTTGAAATTTTTATCTCTCTATTTCATCATTGAAGGGATTATATAACTTGTTATTAATAGAACTTTATGCAATTTCTTAACTTCAGTAACAGTTTGCAAGAAAGATGAAACAGAAGCCCTCGGTGACAAATTTTAGCTCAACTCAAATAGGTTACTTCACCATAAGTGATTTGGGAGCACTAATGCTACATAAAGCTATAAAAGAGTTAGAGAATCTTCTTGATACATTTCTTGATGAATTTCAGTAATTATAATTAAAATTAAATCGAAGAAGCTTCTGCCAACTGTCATTCTTGTGTTCTATGATTAAATGAGTTTTCCCAGAAAGTTTATTATGCTTGTGTGAGTGTATATAAATACACACACACATATACACATAAACACACACACACACACACATATATATATATTTTTGAATAAATAGAATAAATGGAAGTTGTTTTAAGTCATCTAAGTGTATTTCATGACCTATTATCCGACTATAATTCATATCTTAAGTTATAATATATAATTGTCAAATTATAAAAAAAACACAAAAAAAAAAAATTATAATATTACACACACACACACATATATATGTGTGTGTATAATATTATAATGTTTTTTGTTTTTTTTGTTTTGTTTTTTATAATTTGACGATTATATATTTATATATATTATATTATATATATATATATATATATATATATATATATATATATATATATATATATATATATATACACACACATATATATATATACTTTATAATATAGTATCTAGGAATGTTATTTACTAACTTAGCTGTATTGTCAAATTTTATTCCTTAACTAATCTAAGATACTGGCAAAAAGCTTCTTCTTTTTTTTCGCAGTTTATTAGATTTAAATGAGTCTATTACTGACAATTGATTGCAGTCTATTGCCTCTTGTCCTTATTGTTCTGGTGGTAAAAAAAACATAATTATCAATTATATTGTTAAATTAAAATTAATTTTTCAAATTATAATAAAAGTTAAAAATTCTTTTATTTAAATCAGGTAGTTCATGAGTCTGAAGTCTTTAGTTTCATTATTTGTTACTTCTTCGCTACTTATCAGACAGATGATTCGCAGTGTAAAATTGTTTGGAATTTTTTATCATTCTTCTCTCATTGATTGGAAGAAATCCATGAATTTGTTATAGGGACTAGTGAATTATTTTAGCAAAAATACCTGTATTTTGTCTCTTACTTAAAATTGCAAGTTATGAATCTACTGTTGTGCTTCAGTAATTTATCAAATGAATTGAACATACATGGAATGGAGAGCAAGGATGAAGTTAGCAATTTTCAGGAGTAGGGCCAGGTCTCTAGGGAAAAGAACCATTGCCAATAAAAATAGGGTTTGGCCAACCATATGTCTTATAATCATTCGAAAAGAGATGTCTTAACTATGATGAATAAAAACATTCCAAAATAATGTCCAATCAAAATTGAGTAGGTTGAATCTGAGATTAGATAATTTTTTAATAAAAAAATAATGATGTAAGGGACAACAGGTAGGCAACCTTTTACTAATTTAGGAACAATAGATTACAAAATAGTGCTCTAGTTTAAAAAAGAAGATCTTTTTAAACAATTCATGTTATATTAGTGCAAGTATCATTGATACTGTCCTTTAGAAATAAAGAGGAAGAAATTCCTGTTTAGGGTCTATAATTTAAAATCTCTAGAAAGTTAGAAAATTTGGTAAGAAATTGTGATCTAAAATAATAGAATAAATTAAAACTTGAAAATGATCAACATCTTTATTGCACAGTTTAAAAAAAATATATATGTAAATATTATATATATATATATATATATATATATATATATATATATATATATAAAATACTTTTAAATTTATCTAAGTTATATCATACTAGCTAAATACTAACACATGTATTTTTAACATAACTACCTAATATCTGCTTCAATAAGAATTTTGCTAACTGAAAATAGAAAGTTTTATGATCAACTGTTATTTATTTATTTTTAATGATATAGAAATCCAATAACTCATTACAATTATTTGATATTAAACAAAAAATGTTTTGAGATCAAACCATTGTTATGCCATATTCATTATATATAAACTAATTTATGAATATATTGTTAATAAGCCTTCGTTGTGGTTTTAGTTTGAAATGAATTACCAAAATTCTTATAGTTGCAGGAAATAAATTAATACTATATCATAAAATATGAAGTACATACCAATTTACATATTAATAATGTAAGATATTTTATAATTAAAGTTTATTATTTGTACAGACCTATAAATATATATTAAGCAATACAGTAGAATTGCAGAAACATTAAACAAGGACACTCATACCTAAAAAAATTAGCTCACAGCACATATACTTTTCACACTACATTGTACTGACAATAATTTAACATCAATATTTTGATTTTGATTTCTATACCAGACTTTCTAATCAAAACTACATTACAACTAAAAAAATTTGATTTTAATTTTTTTTTATGTTCAGTCATATTCAAAAGAAGATATAGAGTATTAATTTATAAAAATCACAAAGTAGCAGACTTCTTGAGTACAGGTTTTTCAAGCATAATATTTCTTGCCCAGGACCATGGTACATTTTCCTGGGTGTCTGAGTCATTTGTTTCAGCTGAGTTACGCATCATTGTACGAGCCCTGATTGGTGTAATGGTAGTTTCATCACCGGCTGTATCATTAACTTCATTTTCTGTGCTGTAGTCTAATGTGGTATCCTCCACTGTACTGCTAGAAGGTAATTCTGTCGTACTAGAAGTCTTTGTCGTTGTTTTCTCAGTTGGTGCTTCTGTTGACATAGTGGACATCTTTTTCATTTTGTGATTCCTTCAAAAAATATATTACTAAAGTTAATATAATTTTATAAGGAAATAGAAATCTATAACTAATATTATTGAAAATTAACACTCAGAAATCATAAGAAAAACATAACTAAAATAAAATTAATAGTATATATTGTCAGTTTGAATATGAAAATAATAATTATATATCACTATTAAGAATTATGATACATTTCAAATTATATTTTCGATGCAATCAATAGTTAGTAATATTATTGAAATACAAATAAAAATGAGTAAAAAGTATGTTACTATTATTTATTTAATAAAATTAAATCCATATTCAGTTTTTTTTTTTTTAAATTGGACCTGACCTTTGAATGTCTCCTTGAGAAATTGAAATAATTTATTTTTATAATAATGATTAATTATATAAAGTAATCATTTGCCTTTACACACATCTGTATTAAATGTTTAGGAAAATTATTATGTTACTATTGAAACATTGAAAATGATACTTTTTTTACCATTTATTTAAGTATCTAATCTAGTATTTATATTATTAAAATGTCCAGCAAATAGAATTATTTAAATTAGTTTTATTTTTAAAACTATAAATGATTTGATTTAACCAACTGAAAAGTTTTATACATAAAAGCTTCCATTATTTTCTATTGAAATTTTAATTTTTTAAGCCATTAAAAATAATATTCAAATTATTATTAAACAATTTAATTTAAAATGAATCATCAAATTTTCAATATTTAATATTTTGAAAGAACATTTTTATTTTTAGAATATTAATATGTACTTATATATATCAACAGAAAGGCACTAAAAATATTTAATGTTTTGTGTTACATTATTGTTAAAAATAATATTGATTGTTACTTTAAATTTCACTGATTCATTTGCTGCTATAAACTACTTGAATATCTTTATTTTATTTAAAAATTAATTTATTGAATTTATTTTTGTTACATTATTATTTCTTTCATTTAATTTATTTTTTATTTATTTATTTTTTGCTTGATTCTAAGTATCAAGCATTCCTATTTTTTTTACTAATTCTCACCTGCTTACCCCTGAGCAGAGGAAACTGGTATGGACCCATAATTGTAGTAATAGCACCGTGTCTGTTCACAGATGAAATCCTTAATGTTTGTACAATCATCAGTGTCCCAAATAAGATCAGGTGCTCTCAATGCTACACAACCATTTGCTGCTCCACTATCCTTTCTGAAATTTTAATTGTTATTGAATGATACCTTTTATTGAAAACAAAATTTTAAATTACAGCATTTTGATTTTATTTCTTAACTCTTTCTTGTATGATATTATCACTGTTACATCAATCAACTAATATTTTTATTTTAAATGATATAGAACAAGTTTAGGAGTACAAAAGAGATAAATACTGCATTTTCAAATCCTTATGAAACCAATGTATTGATAATTTCAAGAATTTATATAAAATAGAATATTTACTTATTCTTTAATTAATGAATTTTTTTTTTAAATTCATATTAATATGGTTTTATATGTTGAATTTCTTGGGATTTTTTTAAATTTATTTGATTTAATTTTTGGCAATCTAAACCTTAAGCTATGTAACAAAATATGTCTTTAATTTTTTTATGTCTTTAATTATGATGTGATCAATGCCTGGAAATTGTAAGTTGTGACAAAAAGGAATCTATTGCCTAGAAACTTAAAAAAAATAAAAATAAATAAAGAAACTTGTTTTTAAACTAATAAATTAAAATTATTAAGGAAATCTAGTTTGCCAGAAATTAAATAAAATATTTTGGGTGATAAATATTCAGGACGCAGTATTTTTTAATTTGTTTATTAGTTTATTAATAAAATTTTATTTATTTTATTATTATTTTATAATTTTATTAATTTAAAAAAGACTGCATCCGGAATATTTATGATCCATGATATCTAGAACAGTTGACTAACTTCCTTCAATAAAATGTTTTGATGATAGAAAGTTAAAATCATGTTATATTAGTTAGACAACAAATGTTTACAATAAACCAAG